GAATGCATGCGATTCCACGACCGGCCAGTGCAAGTGCAAGCCGTTCGTGACCGGAAGGAAGTGTGACCAGTGCGTCGATGGGACGTTCGCGCTTCAGGACCACAACCCGTTCGGATGCCAGCGTTAGTCGTTTTTTCTGGACGACTGCAGTCCCAATTTAGTTTCTGTAATGTTTTCCGTTTAATTGCAACATAGTTGATTAGAAATTTATATAAAAAATAGCTCCATAAATTGAAGTGTCTCGAGCAGAGCGCAAGAAAATGTTAAAAAACTTGTTGGCATCACTTAAATTGTTGATACTTACATGGATGTTGTTGATGCTGACATGGATGTTGTTGATGCTGACATGGATGTTGTTGATGCTGACATGGATGTTGTTGATGCTGACATGGATGTTGTTGATGCTTACATGGATGTTGTTGATGCTTACACGACAGCCTGCAAGTGTGACGTTGGTGGTTCACAGAGCAACAGATGCGACTACGCAGGCAAGTGCACATGCAAGCCGATGATTCACGGCACGAAATGCGACCAGTTTGTTTATTTCTTACTTCTTTCTTCAGTGACTCAAATGGTAATCATTATCATATATCAATGATAACCGGTGATCATAACTGCTGAGTAGTCTAATTTGTTTGGCAAACGTTTTTTTTACTGTCACTCTAGGGCGTTGACGACTCATTACGTGCCTAACCTGCACCAAATGATTTACGAAAGAAGATGGAAGAACATCAGATGGCAACAGCGTTAGGTTCGGGTTCGATTCCAACGAGTTCCATGGTTACTCGTGGAGAGGATATGCAATCTTCTCCAGGATACAGGTGAGTTTGATGGAGTGAGGGTTGAAATCAATAAGATGATGGTCCGCTGAACACGCAATCAATTATAAAAAAATTAATTGAATTACTTATTATAGCCTTCTCACATGCAAAATTTGAAAAGATAAAAAATAACGTAAAATGCAAATAATTTGAAACTTTTTGACACCGCAGGATGAAGTGCTGCTGGACCTCGACGTCCGCAAAGCTGGCCTGTACAGGGTCGTGTACCACTACTTGAATAAAAACAATCAGGCGACCACAGCGGAGGTCAGGGTCACTCCTGATCAACGTTCACACACCGATGGACATTCGCAATCGAGTTTCGTTACCTTCCATCCACTGGTCGCTCCAGACTTTGCAACCATGTCATCTGGCGGGGGAGTTTCATCAGCGTTCACATTGAACCCTGGCAGGTGGACATTCAGTTTGAAGACGCCTGAGTCAGTTCTCGTGGTTAGCTCATTGTTTGTTCATCTGGTGCCAAGTGTGAATATCAATGACACTAGCCATATATATATATATATATATATATATATATATATATATATATATATATATAAAGTCACTTTTTTTGTATTTTAGTAGTTGAAATGTTAGCATCGTTGTCCTAATACTAGCAAATAACGAGGTATGAAAATGTGTGAATCACGCACGTAGGACTACATGGTCCTGCTGCCAGCTGCTTACTACGAGGCTCCAATCCTGCACGAGAAGTTCCACCAGCCGTGCACCGTCCCTTCAACCAGCGACATGTTCGTTCACGTGCTTCATTTTTTGTTTTTATGTGTTTCCCTGAATAAAGTATTTATTTAGTTAATTTTGTTTAAATATTTGTTATTTCGTACTCTTCCACAGTTGCAAGCACTACGTGTACCTCGATTTGAAGCCTTTCTCGAACGTTCCTGGATCGTCTGGGGAGAGTGGAGATGGTTCTTATCACGAAAAAACCCAACTCTACGACAACCAATCAAATCTCGATAAACTTGGTCTAACTGATATGGCTAAATTAGATGAAAGACAGGTGAATTGTTTTGGTTTCACATAATTGTGATTGCAAATTAATTATAAGACAAAATTTGCTTGATCGGATACCAGTTAAATACTAAACACCAAGCATGACATCTTGCAGACGTCGATAACTTTCACCGTTCCAGTGGAGCAGCCTGGCCCGCACGTTCTAATCATCTCCTACTTCACGGATGATATAAACAGAGCTCAGGACATGGAGGCGGATATTCAAACGCCAGGCGCCAGGGACAGCGGTGTCATCAGGCTCGCCAACTGTCCTTACAGGTTCGCTTTTTTATCCCTCTTTCCTCCTCATCAATGCTGTCATTGTTAATGAAACTATTTAAAAACAAATTATTAAAATCTTATGCAAGTATAAATAAAATACGAGAAAAAATGTTAATGTTTCCAAATGAATGTTTCCTCAGTTGTGTTGGTTACAAATAAGTCTGCTGGGATGTTTTGTTTTTGGCAAAAATATATAGGAAATGTTTCAGTTAGACGCAGACAGAATAAATAAAAACGTATAAATTGTGTGCATTTTGTGGTAGATATCACATAAAAGTTTGTTATTGTTGCCGTAGGTACTGTTTTTGTTGTAATTGTTTCTTATCTTTTAATTGCTGTTGCTTTTGTGATGTTATTATTTTAATGTTGTAAATGTTACGACTGTTGTTGTGATTGTGGTAATTGAATGCTGATGTTTTGTACACAGCTCTCCCTGCCGTCAGTTCATATCCGATGACAGTCACAATGTCAAGGTCATTAATGTCGATGGTCGATATTTCACACTGACGTTGAACGGAAGAAGTGACATCAACCTTGCTATCGTGAGTTTGCCTGATCCTTTTCATTTCCTCAATTTATCATGCGTTATATTGCAATTCTAAATTAAATATGAATTATGTTGATGCTTCTATTTCATAATTATTCCTCTCACGATATTTGATTGATCCTTCTCCAGGACAAAGTGTACGCCATCCCTCTTGACAAGTGGCACATTGACCTCATCGAGCCAAAGTTCAAATGTATCTATAAGAAAGAGAAGTTAGTTTTTTTTTCACATGAGATTGAAACATGTTATAACAACGTTGAGTAACGCTAGTGGCTCAACATATCGTAATATAACGCATCTCACTCAACTGACGTAAACATAAGAATTCGTTAAACATCGGTTACATTGACAGTTAAATTAGTGTACAATATGTTTTCGAGGCATCAACTGGTCATCTAATCACAATCAATCAACTACTCAACCAGTCTTGAGTCTTGACCAATCATCAACTGCCCAACCAATCAGGTGCATTCAAGGCAGACCAGCGGGCAAACCGCCGGGCGTCACGATCGAATTTGAAATCGGAAGTGAGTTGCCGATAACTCCACCGCCCGTCATAATTGAGGGCAGTCACCCAGATCCATCTATCAAAGTTATCAAACTGCATAGGAGAGAGGTGATGGTTTGTGGTGTGGTGTGGCTTGGTGTGGCGATATTTTTTAGTAAAATAAATGAAAAGTTTATAATAGTGATGAAGATGTTGACAGTTAGGTTGTTGATGGTGATGTTGATACTGATGTTGGTAATGATGTTGAGGACGTTGATAATGATGCTAGTGAGGTTGACGATGATGTTTTTATAGCTGAACTGCATGAAAGTGTTTGCTGAACAGCTTCGGAGCTTTGGCATCCTCCATTCACAAATATCATTTAATCGACATTGCAGCCACGAATTGATATAAAAGTGCAAGTGACCCCGGGCAGTTACGCCCTGGTGCCCTTGTACTACCAGCCTCACATTGTAGGATTTGACGTAGATGTCGAGGTATACGCTGGCGGACAGTTCCACAAAGGTTTGTTGGCTCCCCGCTTCATTTTAATATTAATATTAAATCATCTATCGACTTAAGGAATTAAGGAGTGTAAAAATTTTGTAAGGTGAACGAATGATCAATACGACATCCAATATATTTTAAAAGGCACAATGAGGGCCGATCCTTGCCCATCTCTGAATGGTTGCCACGGTATTGTCAAGTTCAAGGACAGACCCAATGTTGACATAGTAGACAGCGATGCCAGAGTATCGTTCAACAGTACCAATCCTGTTTGGCTGGTCAGTCAGTCAGTTATGTGGTTGATTTGTTTGATGTAACTCGTGTGGTTGATGTAACTTGTGTGGTTGATGTAACTTGTGTGGTTGATGTTGTTAATGTCGTTGATGCTATTGGCGTAATTAAATTGAATCATCATTTTCATCTTTATCAACCTCATGAACATGGCAATTAAAATGTTCAGGATTACCTTGCCGTGATACCTTCGGTCAGCTACTCTGAGAAGATCCACGCAGACAACACTGAGGACGACAAGTCGACAGAGTTCATCAACAAGTGCTCCGACCACGGCTTCAGTGTCGAGTGCGTTCTTGCTACTGTCCCCGATTATTACATCATTTGGCTTTCATTCAATACTTGTTTCAACGAACACCTACTTTTCTCATTTTTCCGATTCACCTGCACCCGTCTATACCACCCACCATTACAATCGCCCATCAATCATCATCAAAACCCACCCACCATCAAATCCCACCCACCACTCACCACAAACGAACAGCGCCAGTGGACTGCAGTTCTGTAAGGACAGCATCTACTCTATCACGACGGATTACAACAACGGAGCTCTCAAGTGCCAGTGCGATCCAGATGGGTCGACAAGTTTCAACTGCGATCCGTACGGAGGCAAATGTCCGTGCAAGTCCCAGTTCATTATTGGCAGGGATTGCTCGCAATGCAAAACTGGGTATTGGGGATTTCCAAACTGTAGAGGTTAATTTGTTGATGTGATCATGTCATGTTGTCATGTCATGTTGATATGCTATGTAAGAATAATGTAACGTTGGTGAAAAATTACATAATACATTAATGCAGTAATAATGTTGATGTAATGATTGAAATAATGGAACTTCCCTGTTGAAACTCTGCAGAATGTCAGTGTCCGACAGGAATATGTGAGCCAAGGACAGGACGGTGTGTCTGCCCGAAACTGGTGACCGGTGAAAACTGCGACACCTGCCTGCCCAACACATTTGGCTACAACGCCCTGGTTGGTTGCGAGGAGTGTGGCTGTGACGCTCGAGGAGTCGTCAGTGCGGATATGGAATGCGATGAAAACAGCGGCCAATGTCACTGCAAACCGAACGTTGCTGGGAGGAAGTGCAACAAGTGCAAACTTGGTTACTACGATTTCCCGAGATGCAGGCAGTGCTCTTGTGATTTGAATGGCGTTCTCAGTGATGTATGTGACCAACAGACTGGCAGGTGTTTGTGTAAGGTTGGTTGATTGAATGAATAATTGATTGATTGATAAATTGGTCGGTCAGTCGGTCTTTTGGTTGACTGGCTGGCTGGTTGGTTGACTGTTGTTTGTTTGATTGATTGATTCAATTCATCATTTGGTGGTTGGTTTAGATCTTTATAGATCTGGATATAAGCTAACTTGTTAAATTGTTTCAACCTATTAAATGCTGGTGCTTAAAACCTTCAAAATAAAATTTCACATGAATCAACTATGTGAGCTCTAAAATTGTTTCCATGTATGCCTACTCGACAAAAATCTGCACGCAAAAAAATAGGAAGGATTTGTTTGATTGATAGAAAAAATGACATTCCAGGAAAACGTGGAGGGTCACGATTGCTCGCAGTGTCAGCCATCCACCTTCTCCCTGCTGGCATCCAACCCGAAGGGCTGCAGTCAGTGCTTCTGCTTCGGAGTGACCTCGAGGTGTCAGGCATCTGATCTCCGTTGGGCCCAGGTCAGTTTTCCATCTTTCATCAAACCTTTGTGCGAGAGTTTGGCTCAAACGCTTACTTGTTTCTACTAAGTTCTCTTCAGCAAATTTTCACGCATGTGCTTCTCGCTGCATCTTGTGTTTTGTTACAGCTGACGCGCTAATTGATGATTTCGTTTGTTTCTTTTTTCGTCTTAAACCGGTATTGTCAGACATCATCATAACATCGTCATCACCACATCATCTATCCATCATCACCAGCACCTCACATGATTACTACAGAGGACGAAACTTATTGTCTAACATCTTCACAACATCATCATATCATCACATCATCACATTATCATATCATCACATCATCACATCATTATCACATCATCACATCGTCATATCATCACATCATTATCACATCACATCATCATCATCACATCATCATTAAGACGAGTTGCATGATTTGTGAACGATAGATAACGGAGCTGCAAGACTGGACAGTGACGAACACGATGACGACAGCAGAATATGATGAGGGCAGGAGGATGTGGCACCTGCAGGAGGTCCACCTTCAAACCACCGACCAGCCCGCCTACTGGTCGGCCCCTATGACCTTTCTCAATAACAAGGTCAGTCAGTACCCGTCACGGTAATGATGATGATGATGTGGCGATGTTGATATGATGATATAATGATGATGTGATGATGATAATGAAGAAGCGGGGGTGAGAATGTGGTAATGCTGATGGGTTGATGGTTATGTGATGGTAAGGATGTGGTGATGGTAGTGCAATTTTTTTATCATTATTATCATCTTGATGTATCATTCATCATCATTCATCATCATTTATCATTTTGATTTTATCTATCTTTCCATCTCCTCCATCTCTCTTTCTCTCTTTTTTTAACCTATTAATTTGTCTGTCCGTCCATTCATCCACTCATTTATCTATTCATCCATCCATCTATCATCATCATCTATCATTATCACTATCACTTACCACAATCATCATCATCATTTATCTCTTCTATCTTTCTATTTATCAATGCCACATTTTTCATCATCATCATCATCATAATCTTTTTTCTAATTATACTAATCATCATCATTATCATCCTTAGCTATAAAATATTTACAAAATTCATTACAAACATCAACAACGTCGTCGTCGTCATCATCTGCACATAGGTCCGTTCCTATGGTGGAAAACTTCGTTATAAATTGTTGGCCGACGGGATGGAAGGTGAGAGGTTCAAGTCGCCTGACTTCATCTTGGTCGGCAAGAGTTCAAGGGTCAGCTACGTTCATGGATTGCAGGAGGTTCACAGTTCCGTTGAACACGCTGAAGAGGTCCACCTAGTCGAAGTAAGACCTTGTGCTGGCTGTCTGTCTGTCTGCCTGACTGACTGACTGCCTGTTTGTCTGTCTGTCTGTCTGTCTGACTGCCTGTCTGTCTGTCTGTCTGTGTGTCTGCCAACACTTTTTTTTATTCTCCTTTCAGTCTTTATGAAGTTTCAAATGTCGGTGAGAATTGAAATGTATTACAAATGTTGATGTTGCATGTTGCTGCTGGTTTTGAGTTGGTGTGTTTGAATGTTTTTGTTCAATGAGAAAATTGTTGTTGTTGTTGTGTTGTTGATGTGTTGTTGTGGTTGTTGTTGTTGTTGTGTTGTTGTTGTTGTTTTTGTTGTGTTGTTGTTTTTGTTGTGTTGTGTTGTTGTTTTTGTTGTTGTTGTGTTGTTGTTGCTCTGCTCGACAAATGCGGACTTTTCATTTATGAACAAATTGTTGCAGACAAAATTTGTGCACGAAAGAACTGGCGCCCCCATATCACGTGATCAGTTCCTCATCCTTCTCTCCAACCTTCAATCCATCCTCATCATGGCATCTCCATTCAAGGATACCTCATATATTAAGTCAGTAACTCATTCCGGTCATAATCTTGTGTGGTTGCGATGTGGTTCGACTGTGGTGTGGTGTGGTTGCTGCATGGTTTCGATTATGAAGTGGTTATAGTAAGCTTTGGTGAGAGTGTTGTGTAATTGCATCGAGCCATGTAGCATGTAATGGTGGAGTCAGTTCAGTTCTGCCGTAAGCAAGCCTTAATTTTTTTTGGTTGTAAAGCAGCTCATTTTCATGACATATTTCACACCATCATCATGTTTGTTGTTGGAACGTTACTAACAAATAGTTTCACACCTACCGCCAACCAGACTGTCAGACGTGTCGATGGATGAAGCGCGTGAGGACGGGTGGGGTGAGGTGGCCGACAGTGTGGAAAGGTGCGAGTGTCCACCAAACCACGGGGGTTCGTCGTGCGAATCGTGTGCCCAGGGGTTCTTCAGGGCGAAGAATGGTCAGTGTTTGGCCTGTCAGTGCAACAATAGAGCAACAACATGCGACCAAACAACTGGGATCTGCATTGTAAGCTGACCAACGTATCATTGGTCTTGTTTCCATTTTATCTGTTGGTTTCGCTGCACAGCGAACCTTTCCTTCACCGTGCAGAAAATTTTTTTATTGCCTGCTTTGCTGTCATTATAATGTTGTTGACACATCATCATCGCCATCACATCATCGTCCTTATTCTTAAAAACAATACAATCGCAACGTCTTCAGCCGTGCCGCTCCCCTCATCATCATCACTAATCACCAATGACTATTTTCACCTTTTCATTACATAATTTCTATCGCTGGAGCAGCCACAATCATCATCACTACTATCTCCACCGCAGCCACATCATCACTACCACAACCACATCTTCACCACCATGTCAGAACTGTCGCGACAACTTCGATGGTCCTCAATGTTTGAAATGCAAGCGTGGCTACTTCCTTGACCGCCAAAGCAACACGTGCCGCATCTGCTCCTGTCCACTGCGTCTCGAATCCAACAAGTTTGCTCATCACCGTCATCATCACCATCACCACCGCCACCATCATTTTTTTGTTATTTGTTGATGTATTTTGTTGTTATTTTACAAATGTATAAAATAACTACCGATATCTATCAACTACCACTACTCTCAACCCTCCCACTCTAACCGCCAACGCTACCACAACTACCAACACCTTCACATCAGCTTTGCCACCCACTGCGATGTTAGTTTTGCTGGGGTGGTGGACCGATGCTACTGTTTGCCCGGCTACACTGGGAAAAATTGTGACAAGTTGGTGCTGTTGTATGCTTGTCTGTGTGCTTGTTAGTGTGCTTGGATATTTGCGTTTAAATTATTTTTGAATGTTCATTTTTGCATTCTTGCGTTTCAGCTTATTTGTTTTCTACTTCTGTTTGTTTGTTTATGGGCTTGTGTGTTAGATTATAAGTCGGTGTGTAATTGCGTGGTTGAGTGAATGTTTTCATGTTTGATGACCCCCAGATGCGCCCCCGGTTATTGGGGCCACCCGATGACCCCTGGAGGTCAGTGCAAGAAATGCGAGTGTAGTGGAAACATCGATGAACGTGACCCGATGGCGTGCGACGTGAAAACTGGACGATGCTTGAAATGTCTGCAGAACACGGGAGGGGAGAGGTGTGAGAGGTGTGCCGACGGGTACTATGGGGATGCCCTCGATGGCAGGAACTGTAAAAGTCAGTGTTGTTGTTGTTGCTGTTGTTGATGTGTTGATGTGTTGATTGGGTCGTGCTGTTGTTGTTTTTGCCGGTAATGTTAGGGTTGGTTTTGTGGGGAAGGTTGATGATGCACGTCCGAATACATTAATATCAACCTCCTCATCTTCATCATCGTCATTATCTTCATCATCATCATCATCTTCATCATCCTTTTCCTCCTCATCATCAACAGCATCATCATCATCAACACCATCACACAACCAGAATGTCTGTGTGAACCCCTTGGAACCGACCATTGTGATCACGTGACTGGTCAGTGTGTCTGCAAGCAAAATGTTTATGGTCCGCAGTGCTCGCAGTGCGTTGTAAGTGTTTACCTATTTATGCATCTGTCCGTGTGTTTCTTTGTATGCACGTTTGTCCTTTTTTGTATGTGTATGTTTTGTGTGTTTCGCGTACGTGCACATTTGTATGTGACTCGCATCCACACACGCACACATAATATAATTTATGTAGTTGCAATACGCAGCAAAACGTATCCTAGTGCGAACGTACAATTAACCGACACGCCTTACGTTCACATGCATGCATCGTATCAACCTGCCTGGGTGTCGGTTCGACCGTTGTGTTGTAGTCATTCAACTTTTTATGATTTGTAAGCAAGTCTACAAAACAAACTAGCATACAGACAAACATACATACATACAAACAATCAATCGATCGATCGATCGATCGATCGATCGATCGATCGATCGATCGATCAATCAATCAATCAATCAACCAATCAATCAATCAATCAATTAAACAAACAAACAAACAATCCCACAAACCAAACAAACAGCCTGGATCGTTTGGTTTCCACCGCAACCGCGGATGTGAGATGTGCAGTTGTGGAGTGGCGGCGACGTCGTCTGAATGCGACCTCATCAGCGGCCAGTGCCAGTGCAGGGAGGGGGTCACAGGAAGGATGTGCGACCGATGCATCGATGGCTACTGGAACTATCTGCCTCAAGGGTGCCGACGTAAGTTTTGGCTGTTGATGAGGTTCGGTAGTGTCGCACACAACCACAACACACCACACGACTACCACGCAACACTACGCACATTACACAAGCACACTCATGACCACCAAACTACACACACACTCACACACATACACACACACACACACAACACACACACACACACAAACGACCCCACAGCTTGCAACTGCCTATCGAAAGGAGCGGTGACGTGTGACAAGGAGACAGGGGAATGCCAGTGCCTGCCCGGGGTCACTGGACCCAACTGCGACAAGTGCCTGCATAAGTGGATCATGATTGAAGGCTTTGGCTGCAAAGGTGCTTGAAATTGATGATGATGATAGTGACGATGGTGATGATGATGATAATGTGTAATAATAATGGATGGTGACGATGGTGATGAAGATTTTAGTGATTCTATAATGAAGACAACGGTTGGTAGTGGTGGGTTGTTTGGTGCTGACGATATGGTGGTGATGCGTTTGTGGCAAATCAATGGATGAAAAAATGAAGAACATAATAAGATATATAGATGGTATATATGCAACATCGTAAGTGGTTCTGCCTATGTCAGAGCTGCAATAATAAAGACTACTACAAACAAAGAATACAGGGTTGGCTGTTGTGTTGTGTAGGAGTTGATGCTGTAAACACATTAGATATTTTTTAAAATTAACGTTAAATTTTTTATTTATGACTTAGTGTAGCTTACTCTCTTACTCACTCACCACCCACTCACTCACTTAGTCACTCACTCCTCACTCACTCACTCACACTCACTCACTCACTCACTCACACTCACTCACTCACTCACTCACTCACTCACTCACTCACTCACTCACTCACACTCGCTCGCTCACTCACTCACTCACTCACTCACACTCACTCACTCACTCACTCACTCACTCACTCACTCACTCACTCACTCACTCACTCACTCACTCTCACTCACACTCACTCACTCACTCACTCACTCACTCTCACTCACTCACTCACTCACTCTCACTCACTCACTCAAATTTGCATGATGAACAGAGTGCGACAGTTGCGTGCAGTTGTTGTTGGACGACATTGACGTGTTGCATAGGAACGTCACGCAGATGAAGCACGACCTCACCAGCGTCAGTGTCAGTGTTCAGGTTGGTGGGCTGGCTGGCTGGCTGGCTGGTCGGTCGGTTGATTCGGTTCGTTAGTTCGGTTGGTGTGTTAGTCGGTTGGCTAATTGGCTGGTTGATTGAATGGTTGTTTGGTTGATTGTTTGGTTGGTTGTTTAGATGGTTCGTTATGTTGGTTAAGGTTAATTAATTGATTGATTTTTTTCTGTGAAATATATATTTATTTGTTGACTGTTGACTGTTGACTGCCCACTGACTGCCTGTTCATCAGCTGCTGTCCATTTAATTCCCTTCCCAGTTTGTTGGTCAATAATGTGCCCGCTGAGACTTTCGCTCAGCATTTGAGCAAAATTGAGGAAGCATGAAGAAGTAGAATGAGTTCTACTGCCATCATTCAAATTGATGATCATTACCACATTCACCACCGGCACTAACCACCACCGCCACCATCGCCACCTTTACCACTACTACCACCATCATTTGCAGACCATCCACCACTTGGAAACTCTTGACCGACGATATCATGACCTTGAACCGAAGGTCAAAATGTTGTTGACCGATCGTCCGTCTTCAGGCCATGACGTCATCGAGGCCAGCAGAGAAATCGATGAAGTGCACAGTTCTGCAAAAACTGTTTTGCAAACTGTGAGATTGCAAACGTTTTAATCAATAAACTAATCAATCAATCAACCAATCAATTAACCAACCAACCAAAAAACTATTCAATAAACTTGTCAATCAATTAACTATCCAGTGAACCAAACAATCAATCAACTAACTCTCCAATGATCTAAAAAACTTATCCAATTAATCAACCATTGAATTAATCAACTATCAAACGAACCATCCAATCGATAAACTATCTAATAAACAGCTCAACAGATTGTACAATGAATCGGAGAGAGTTGAAGATTCAGCTCGAGACATCAAAACTGAAGTGAACAATTACTATGAAAGCATTCGTAGCAAGACCAAAGATCTGGTTGATGGTAAGTAGTTGTGATGTTGTAGTGATGTTGTTGTGATGTTGTAATGATGTTGTGATGTTGTAGTGATGTTGTTGTGATGTTGTAATGATGTTGTGATGTTGTTGTGATGTTGTGGTGATGTTCGCTCTGTGGGCGGCCAATGATTTGATGACATGCGTAATGATATGCATAGATGATGATGATGATGGTGTTGATGATGATGCTGACAGTTAGGATGATTGAGTCCAGTCCAGATAGCGATCGCAGTCTTGAAGGCAAAAAGAAAAAATTATTAATATGATCTGGATGATAGTTCAAATAATGATAAAGATTGAAAGAATGCTATCCACACACACGCACGCTCACACACGCTCACACACGCACACAACGCACACACACACGCATACATACACTCAGATGCCCTAAATAAAGTGCGCATTAAGACGGACCAGCTGACGACCTCTGGGGCCTCGTCAAACGTCGACGAGATGGTCAAAGAGTGCACGGCCATCCTGACAGAGATGAGGAAGAAGGGCTTTCATGATGAGAAGGATATGGCACTCAATGAACTTGCCAAGGCGAACGACAGTTAGTCGTTTATAATATTTTATCTCGGCTAAGTTGATTAGCATTACTTAAGTTTTTGTTTTTTTAGATTATTAAAATTTTTTGCATTAACAACAACAACACAAACAACAACAACAGCAACAATAGCAAAAACAACAACATAAACAACAACAATAATACAATCATCGACAACACATACAACAACACAAACAACAACAACAACGCAGCCCTGCTAAGAGCTAGAGAGTTATTGGGCAGATCGCACACGCGGTTGAACAGAACGACGGACATTAACTCCTCCATCTACCTCATCCTCGCTCAGCTGCAGGACCTTCAGAGACTGGCTCAAAGTTCAGCGCAGAGGTCAGCCGAGGTCACCAAGCTGCTCAATGAACTGCGCAACACCAAGGCTCATGTTGATGTTAGTTTTCTTTTCTGATTTGTCTTCTTGAAATTGTTTTGCGGCTGTGATTGAGAAAAAGAAGTGCACTCCTTGAAACTCTTGAATGGAACTCTCGCACGTGTGAAACACCGCATTGCTCCTTGTTGCTCCTCATCATATATATGCAACAATGTACAACAGTTTCATAAGAATTGTTATTATATTATTATATATGTGACAATATACAACGGTTTCGCACGAATAGAACCTTGTTGAAACAGAATCGATAAAAACATATAAGAAGGCAGTTGCAAGTTTTACGTAATTTAAAGAGAACTAGGAGGCATGGATGGATCAGAAGCTGAAACTGAAAAGAGAATGGCGATAGTGGCTGGCAGCAGAAGTTTCTAAAAGACGTGACCTTTCTTTGAAGGATGAAACTTTGTATGATGCATGCATGCGTGTGTCGCTGCTGTCCGTAGCTGACTGAGTCGAGGAGCATTACAAATAGCGTGCAAGAAAGTTAAATTTGTAAAAAAAGCAAGTAGCTCAGGGAAGCTTTAAAAGTCTTTTTAAAAGATTTTTTCATAGAAATCATGTCACAAGTTAGGAAATTGCATGAAGAAATCAATGAGTTTGTGAAAAGTAGAAAGCACTGGTTGATGACCACGAGTACCAAAATATCGGCTTGATGAATGGCAAAAAGCCGACGATTTTTAACTAAAAGGCAAACAAAGTTTATTTATAAAAATCTGAACTGTCACTTCTGAATAGAATAAAAAAAGGACATCAAAGAATAAACCTGGACGCTTGGATAAAACTACGCAGAAGAGGCAGAGATGGCACGATGTTGTAAGGGTATCATTGCCCTGATATAGCGAGATCAAGCGTTCTATATCACCGATCATGTTGTTTTGCATGATTATTACTTTTTGATCATATTCCAGGGTCTTATAATAAAGATCAAGAACAACGAGGGGCAGATAGCAAAGTGTTTGGAGGAGTCAAGGAAGAACCTGAACGTTGTGGATGATGACCTCAACGAAGCCAAGAAGGCTTTTAATGTGAGATCTACTTGTTGTTGTTGATGATGATGGTGATGTTGCTCTTGATGATGATGTTGTTGATGTTGATGATGATGATAGTGATATTGTTGTTGTTGATGATGATGTTGTTGTTGATGATGTTGTTGTTGATGATGATGTTGTTGTTGTTGATGATGATGTTGTTGTTGATGATGTTGTTGTTGATGATGATGATGTTGTTGTTGATGATGATGTTTTTCTCGGTGATGTGGTTGGGGATAAGGTATAAGTTTTTTTCTCTGACTAAGATAATCACTCCATTTTAACAAACTGAAGTTATTGCTAGTGTTTCTATTGCGGCTGTTGTTGTCATCGTCGTTTTTGTGGTTGTTATGTGACGTCATCGTACGCATTACCCTTCTAAACAGAGTGCCATCAGTGATCTGGAGAGGTTGAAGACGCTGGTGGCGGATGCTCAGAGATTCGTTCACAAATTGGTAGCGGAGAATGAGAACTTGAAGACATTGCTTCGTCAGGTGTCTGTTCATGTTAACGAACTGGAAAGAAAGGCCACGTCTTTGATGGAGTTTGTGCTGATGTGTTTGCATTGTTTGTGTTGTTTGTTGTGTTTGTGTTATTTGTTGTGTTTGTGTTGTTTGTTGTGTTTGTGTTGTTTGCTGTGTTTGTGTTGGCTGCTGACGAGCTTGTGATAATTTTTGTGGTGATTTCATGTTATAGCAGCGATGCTGGCATTTTTTGTTTTTTATTATGTTACCCCAACAAACGCAAAACTGTTTACATGTCTTTTAATACTTATAAATTATTTTAATTACTTATAAATTAAACTTTCCAGCCACAACAGCTGCCCTACCAGACCCCACAGCGTACATAAACGTCATGCATGCACTCGCAAACACCACAGCATACGCGTATGATGGTCTTTGACTTTCGGACAGACAGTATTCGAACCAGGTTATCGCGTAATAATACAGTGCGAGACATGGCACTTCTACCGATTGAGCTAACTTGCCGACTACATTGGTTTTGTTTTATTATTTGGCAAAAAATTCTGGTTATTAAGGTACAATTGATTTTGAAAAATGATAGAAAAAGAAAGATAAATGAATGGTGTTTACTTTGAAAGGTCAATCAGCAACACGGAGAGCTCAGTGAAGTTGGCGATCGAAGCATCTGGAGTGTACGAGACGATAGTGAAGACCATTGAAGAAGCCTGGAAGGACAGCCAGGAAGCAGAGAGGCTCGTCAACGTAGCAAGAAATATGGTTCGATGGGTTTTTTCATTTAATTTTTTCAGTTTAATATTTTCATATTTCATTAAATTTTACCGCATTAATCTGATAATTTCTGACATCATGACGTCATTGTGCGATTTGTTGCTAACTGTCCCAGTGTAGTTTGGAATTCTGGTTGACGTAATTGAACATTTGTTGGCTTGTTAGTCGATGAAATATAAAATTGATTGTGGTCATCATTTAATCGTTATCAAGATTATCATGATCATCTTTATTATTATTACAATCGTTATCAATAACATCATCACCACCGTCGTTTATGGTCATAGTTAACACCAATTAATTAGCATTCATAATCATCATCACCGTCATCATTATCATCACCGTCATCACCACTATCATCACCACTCTCATCACCGTCATCATAATCATTACCATCATTAGTCAGTCATCCTATCGATAGACACATCTGAAAAAAGCGCTCAGCTCGGAAACATTTCGAAGCAGATCAACCTCATCAAGATGAGCATCGATCGAGGTCGGTGACGATGATTAAACGATGATGAAGGTGATGATGAGGATTATATGGCGACGATGATGAAAATGACGCTCAATTATGATGACCATGATGATGAATATGACGACAGTTATAATTTGAAACGTATTAAGAAGCCATCACAACGGTCATCATCATCATCATCATCATCATCATCATCTGATCTTTACTGCAAGCGATACTGCCAATGTTTCTTGCAGATCTGGTCGATAAACTGGCAATTATTCAAGGCATGCTAAAAAGCATGAAGGAGAGTGAGAAAGACAAATCGTACACGGACGTCGTAAAAGGACTGGAAGACATCAAAATGGAAGATTATGAAACGATTTTCGAGGACAGCAGGAGCGAGGTTGAGGAAAACCGTCAGATCCTCTCCTCCTACTCCACAAAGTTGCAAGAACTCGATAAGAATTTAACGGCAAGTGTGGAACGTGTAAGTAACTAGATGGATCAGGATTGGTGTGTTGCTACATCGTTATGGTTTCATTCTCATTTGTATCATTGATATGTTTTTTTCTATTTCATTTTTGTATCATTATTTCGTTCAGCTGCATCTTTTTCTTTTTATTTGGTTGTTATCATTAACTACATTAGTATCATAGTATTGACATGCAACACAATTTGCAACCGACCAGATACGGAGTCTTCCACAACAGCTCAGCGAAATGAACAGTGACGTTCGTGTGGCTTACCAAGACATGCAGGTTGAGGTCTCGAAGATCGAAGAGACCATCTTTGTCATGGAGGACCTGACCCGGCAGTCCGATCAGCTGATCAAGCTGGAGGACGAGCTGAAGTACAACATGGACCTCCTGAGGGACTACATAAGACAGGCTCGGGATGCCGCTAATCTGGTCGGTGGGACCACGACCTTGATGATGACGATGACGACGATGATGATGATGATGCTTATGGTTGTCGTGATTTTAATAAATGATGATAATAAACGCTGCTAATGATGAATGGTGATGTCTACTCATTCCAGGTTACACTTGGAGTTAACTTCACCCACGAATCAGTCCTACAAGTGAGCGACATTCCATTTTACCAATTTATGATAATTGTGATAGTGTACAAATGAATTATAATAAATACAAGTTCATAACATCGAGGGATGTTGTATTCAATTAATTACAAATTATGGTGTAAGCCAGCCTAGCCTGCCTGCAACAGATAACAATGCATGCTACGTGGGCAGTGATGGGTGATGGATTTCTTTACATTCGAACCTGATCACAGACGTCCGCACCTACGATTATAATTATGATGTTGGTGTTGTTGATGATGTTAATGTTATTGATGACGTTAATGTTGATGATGATGACGTTGATGATGATGACGTTGATGATGATGACGTTGATGATGATGACGTTGATGATGATGACGTTGATGATGATGACGTTGATGATGATGACGTTGATGATGATGACGTTGATGATGATGATGATGACGACGTTGATGATGATGTTGATGATGATGATGATGTTGATGATGATGATGTTGATGATGATGACGACGTTGATGATGATGTTGACGTTGATGATGATGATGTTGATGATGATGTTGATGATGATGATGTTGATGATGATGACGACGTTGATGACGTTGATGCCATGTTGTCAGGTGCGCAATAGCATTGACATGCCATCTTCCGGCATGGTCTCGAAGATTTCTCTGCACTTTCAGACCAAGCAAGCCGACGGATTGCTCTTCTACATCGGCAAAGACAGTGGGCTGGCCGTTAGTTCAAAGTTCATGTTCTTCAAACTTTTGATAGTTTTTATTACCATTATTATTATTATTATTATTATTATTATTATTATTATTATTATTATTAAATATTAAACTGACCTACTCTAGTTGTACACATTCTATACTATGTCGAGCAATATAGAGACAAGGTTCAGATTGTATAAAATATATTATTGTCTTTTTATTAACTTTATTGCAACTCTATGTTTACCATAAAATTTGATTGATAACGCCAAAATAATAAGAATGATTGAACCCCAAAAACTAGCCCCTCTAAAATGTACTCACTTGCAGTGACGAGCATTTTAGATTAAATAGGATTTTATAATTATTTCATTATTAATATTTGGTATTTGGAGTTAGAAAATAAAAGGATGTTCCCATTATTATTATTATTATTATTATTATTATTATTATTATTATTATTATTATTATTATTATTATTATTATTATTATTATTATTATTATTATTATTATTATTATTATTATTATTATCATCATCATCATACGTTCGAAATTTTGCCGCTAGGTTTTTTCAATTATTTCGATTTGTCGCTGGTTGACATTATTTGGTCTGATCAATTTTATAATAGTCTTATTAACTCTGCGATGTCCTCATCATACGCTGTTTATTGTGATAGAAATTTGGCGGAATGAATCGATGTAAAACTAATCTGTTCTCGTTGTACTCATTTCGTGTTTCTTTCACTGGATGACGAGCTACGTAGAATACGCTTTTATAATTTTTTTTTTACCTAAATCATTTCTGATTATCGTTGATTATTTTATTCGAACTTTATTTAATTTCATTTTATCTATCTTAATGTAATTTTTTGGGGGGAAAATAAAAGATGTTAACATTATTATTATTATTATTATTATTGTCATTTATTATAATAAATAATTTTGCGGTTGTTATTATTATTATTGTACAATAATGCTTTTATCTTACATTTTTTCACTTCTATTTTTCCCTTGCAATGAAATGTTATGTGAAGCTAGTCACGAAATGATTGTTCATTGCGCCATAATCAGAATAATCAAGCCCCACATGACCTGCTGAGAAGTTTACCGTCGATTGAGAAAGTGATTAAATTTGTTCTGTTTAGCTCGAACACGAAACGTCAAAAAATTATTTCAAGTACCTTAATGACGTTACGAGCAATATTGTAAGATTACACAAGAGACAGACTGAGCTGGGTGCAGTGCAGCGATTGAAAAGAGGAGTTTTGAAAGCTTGTTACCTATCATGGCGGTATCTCAGCTGTTGGTTTATTTTTACAGGATGATTACATGATTGGTGAGATCGTTGGGGGACATCCTCAATTCAGAATCAACCTGGGATCCGTCGAAACTGTCGTGAAGGGAACGAAGCCGGTCAACAACAATCAAATTACGACATATGAAATCAGGAGGTGTGCTTTGTTCGACTAAATATTTTGTATTGCAAAAATAACTGATTATCAATATCGTAATCTACGGTTATTACTGTTAACTTGTTTCATGATTTTTTTTTCAAAATTTTCAGGTAAGTTATTAACATTAACGCTTTTATTTATTTTTTAGCGAACTGAAAAAAAACTCCGTAGTAAACCACTTTTATACCCACGTTTTTCATCTTATGCCTCATGTTCCGTTTCATTTGCTCGTTGTCTCAGATCTCGTTACATAGTTTCTTTCATTCAGTAGTTGTTCATTCAACATCTTCAAACGTTTATTTGCTGAGAAACTACACCTTGATAAGCGCATACATGGTTGAATTTGTTAGATTTGTAGAAAACACTTTGGACCTCAATAATACTGACTGTTATCATTGGTCAATGTAGAGGCATGGATCTCACATCATTATCACAATAGACGAACATAGCGATTCAATTCAGAGATGGAATCGCTGTCACTTTTTAAATGTTTAACAACAATCTGATGGCTGTACTGATTACTAAAGCAGCAGAGCAAACGTGTTGGCACCCCCTCTTTTTTTAGAACTCTACGTTATAAAAAATGAAACTTTAATCCGTTTTTTTTTTCTGTTGCTCATTCCGGATGTCTTATGCTCATCCAACTGATGGTGTTGAACTTTTTCTTTGGCATTTCCATTCAACATGGTTGATAACGTATATAACGTAATATAAATGGATTTTATTGTTGTTGTTGATGATATTAATGCCGTTGTTACGTATTTTTCTTCGCCAGGGAAGGGAAAGATTTGAAGCTCTTCATAGATTCCAATCCAATTGACGGCGAGGTCAGCGGGGATAGTTTTACTTTCCAATATGACAACAGTACAAAGTTCTACGTTGGTGGGGTCCCGGATCACATCCTGGTTAGTCAGCTCTCTTCTGCACTATCAAGCATGGTTTTAAAATAACATCGAAGTGGCGTTACTAAAATTTTCAAATTTGACTGGTGATTTATTGTGAATGAATGTGAATTACAAATTATTTTTAAATGCGATTTTATAGTTCTGATGAGTGTTTGGTTTGTTTATGACCGACGTCTGATTCTTAATTGGGAATTTTCAAGAAATTTTTGTAAACATAATGTTAACACCAACAGCAAACTCGTTGATTTGAATTTTTATGGAATGTTTTTTGCACAGAAACAGAATTCCAACTTGAGTTCGATACTACCACGCAACAAATTTGTGGGCGTCATAGAGAACCTCGTTTACGACGAAAGGATGGTTGGTCTCTGGAATTTTGTGGATGCCAGCGGGTTGAGAGGAGCTCATTTCAAGAAGATGTAATTTTTCATCATTTTCTATTATCACACTTTCATTTAATTTTTTAGAATCGAATGTTGTCTTGTTTGCCATGAAGTTATTAGTTAAATAACGAAATAATCTAAAAGTTTGTACGGATTATGTTTGTATAATTTGCTAAACCTCTAAGAACCTCTAATGTATATTTAAACATGAAAGTAATTGTAAGCATTTGTTTGAATGATTTTGCTTTTGCTACTAAATATTTTTTAAATAAATGTCTGAATATATAGTATTAATATAGTGTTTACACGTTAGTACATTCAATACATTAACTGCTTAATATGGGAACAATGATATATTTCATTCGTTGAATTAATTTTCTCTCTCAGAAAAATATTCAGCGAAGACAACATTTTCACATATGGTGGTACTGGCTATGCTCATATGAAAATTGAAAATCAGCTTATCGAAGAGAATTTGGACGTATCTTTTGACTTCAAAACTTACTCTAAAGATGCTCTGCTCTTCCATCAGGGCACCGACACACAGTTCATCACTTTGGATCTTGTTGACGGAAAGGTGCTCTAACATTTTTTCATCTCAACCCCACAATATGTTCACTATTGTTTTCATATTGTCTTTGTTTCGTTTTTGTAATTTTTATTTTTTTTTGTTTTTAACGATCCTTATTAAGATTTTAATTTAAAAAATATTTAAGCGAAGGACAATTTGCAAAATGATGACGTTGGAAACTTCAGTTATTATCACAAAAACCTGTTTGTGTTAGAAGCACGTAATGAATATCAAACTGTTACACACGTTGAACGTTTCTGTAACAGATGATGAATATTTGTTTTGCAGTTAAGAGGAGTGATGGACATGGGATCTGGCGGGCTGCCAAGGATTTCTGAGAGCACGTACAACGATGGACTTTGGCACTCTGTCTCATTCAGCAGGAGAAATAGGGTGGCTGTCTTGAGAATTGACACTTATACTGGTAAATATATTTTAACACTTTTTTTTATTAAATGCAACATTAAAGAAGTCACAATTAAAAGTGCTCCTCATATATTGTCTTTGAATATTTTAAATCTGTATATTACTGTTATATCCACCGGAATGGTGGAATTACACTATGTAATTAATTATTGTTATCTTGTTATATTTGTTATCTTCGCTATTTGTTACTGATTTTAAACCATAGAATTTACTGTAGAGGCTATATAAGAGTTTATAAAAAGTTAATATAGCTAAAAAATAAATTAATAAATAAAAATAAAAGAAAATAAAAGAAATAAAATAAATTTATAATTTGTTATTTTATTTATTTTTATTTTATTTTATTATTTAAAAGTTTTAATTTATTTTGTTTTTTGATATGGCTATGAATTATATAAAAAATTAACATGGGTGTCAAACAGTTCCTAGGATGGCCGTTAATGGCTGGAAGATGATTTATGAGGGCGAAAGTGATTTCTTCATTGGCGGGCTTAAAAACCCCGACAATTACACGTACGTTCATGTCCTATATTTTGAATGGTTTTTATTTCGTCGCGTTGTCAATGTTTATATTTTTACGTGAAATTCTAGCATCACATGTTGATGAAATAGCAAATATTACCTTAACACAATGTCAATGTAACGAATGTCACATCAATACTAGAGACAAAAATGTTGCAAATACGACATGACATCGTACCCACACAGCAAACCGACGAAGAGCAGATTCAAAGGCTGCATAAGAAACTTTCAGGCCAAGTCTGCACCATATCCAATCCAATCGGCCATCGAGTTTGTCGACGTGCAGTATGGTTGCAGACAGGTTATTATAACTCGTTTTTATAAAAACAGTAGTGTAAACAAACGTTTTTATATGATATTTGTTTTGTAATTTGTAAATGTACTTGAATAATTTGTAAATAAACTCGAATAATAGGAATACGTACTTAATATATGCTTGACATTTTTTGTCAGTCCATACGAGTAGTGTCCTTCCCTCCGTCACCCATTGCTACTGGCTACATCAAACTTTTCAAAGATTCTTTCTCACTTTCAAACGATTTTGCAATGAGTTTTAAATTCAGAAGCCAGCAAAGTGATGCTCTAATATTCTACATATTTGGCGATTCCCAGGTTTGTACCTGCTCATTTTGTTTTTGTTTAAGTAATGTAGGGAAGACCGGAGCTTTATGAACCACGGGTAGGTTGAACCAGTTGGGTAAATTTTTTTATTTATAACAAATAACGGCAGACGTTTTATAATTTTAACCATCAATGCGTAGGAACTAGCTGAGTTAATCTGTCACGTTTATGTCTGCAAACTGTCAAGTAAATGCCGCTAATACGATTCTGCCGTTTTTGAGTAATTTTTAGTCGTTGACGTGATTGTTCTTTAAAATACAATTGCAAAAGAGTAAACAATTTTACGATACATAAATTTGTTTTCACGCCTTGGTAACATGTTAATGAGGCTACAGTTGAAATACTAGGATCAATATGGTTGGGCCATATTGAACCAAGTTGTTTGGGACATATTGAACCGTATTTATATTAGTCTAAAATTTAAAAATGTGTTTGTTTTTGATGCAGGATCTATCAGAAGGGTCATATATTGACAACGAAAAACAGTGTGAAAACGTTGTGAGCAGTATTTTTAATAAAACTCTGCAAAACATTAGTTTTTATGCAGGAAAACATTGTTTTATGAGGAAAATCGACCAAAAATCCACGCGATAAGCAAAAAAGGTCGCCACCAAACTTATTTTGGCGACACTTTTGCAAATATGGTTAGCTTCTTGGCTTTCTCCGTCAAAGTTGTCTAAATTCGTCTCTGGATATAATGCTGGTTACTGTGAGAGTCCCTAGAGGTGAAATTAGTGTCTGTGCCTGAATGTCTTGTCGGTACGACATTGTTTAAATATTGTAAAAAATACAACAACGAGCAGAATTCTGCATTATAAAATTTCAGTGTCTTCAGCCAAGAAATGTGTCTCTACTGGTGACGAAGAATGCTTGCTTGACGAAATAACTGGGGCTGATTGGTTTTCCAAATTCATGAGGACACACTTACACCTCTCAGTCAGAGAATCTGAGGCGACATCTATTGCTTCCATAGATGCGTGTCCGCATTTTTGGTAACTTTTCATCAGTTCATAAATGTTATATGTTTGTACCAGAGGCTATCTACAACAGCGAAGGAACAAAAATTAATTACTACGGTACATCGCCCGAGCAGAATTGTTGTCAGAAAGATGTGAAGCAAGTTGGTGCTATTGTTTCGCAAAAACGTGGTCAATTGGTCACTGGCTGTTATTGTTAATGTAAATTAATAAACTTTTTTATCTGAAAATATTTGAATAATATTGTCTTGCAACAGTTATTAAATACTGGTTAAACGTGCCCCGGTGTTTGGTGCAACATGATCCGTGAACACGTGAACGGGGTAGGTTGAACCCCACGACAGGCTTGCAAATATACCCTTCTATTGTCAAAAACACGCTAGAATTGAATATATTTTTAAAGATACGTAATAGGCATGTATTTACATAATAATGACCTATTTCAAAGTTTTAATGCAATAATAAAAATTTAATAAGTTAAATACGAAAAATTGGTTCAATGTGCCCAGGTCTGTCCTACTGTTGTATTTGATCACTTGTTGCTGTATTTAATGTAGTTGTCGTTGCATGTGATGTAGTTGATGTTGCATGTGATGTAGTTGTTGCTGCATGTGATGTAGTTGTTGTTGCACAACCACGACAACATCAGCCGCAACAACATCAACAATAACATTAATATCACTCACAACACGATACACCACAACAATCCCAACACCGTCAACCCCAGCCACAACAACATCAACCTCAACATCACAGAATATTGGTTTGTCCTTATCTTTGGTTGATGGATATTTGAAATTGGTGTTTAAAGATGATGATGAAAACGCTAGTGAGGAGTTGACTTCCCCATTCAAGTTCAACGATGGTGCTTGGCACTACGTCAACGTTAAAAGAACTAAAAACCTGTTAGTCATTTAGAAATGCTGGTGGCCAGCTGTTACTTCAACAGTGTGATGTTTTGAAAATTGAACATGGCTTCTTTTCGTATTTGGTCATTTTGAAAATTAATTAAGCTTGGCAAATGGAATTATTTTTGCATTGAAATTTTTGGTCTATATTTTTTACGCCGTGTCTGAGACTGAACTTGCAAGTTTTCAAATGAGTTACAAGATTTTTTTACTCGACATTATGTCAGTTATCTACACATATTCATCGTCGTTACGTTTCCATCTTTTGAACTTCATCAGTTAGCATTGATAATTGTTACTTACGCATTTAGACTCTCCCTGGAAACTGAGGACAAGTGGACTGGGACGAGGGCCTTTACTAGCAGGGCTCGCATTCCAGGACAGCAGCACGTGTACCTGGGAGGAGTGCCTGACTCTGTGTCCGTAACATTGAAGAATGTCGGCTCCAACAAACCGTTTGTCGGCTGCATCGGTGACATCTCCATCAACTCAAAGTTAGTGCTTGTGCGGTCCGTCGTTGTGTTGGTTGCCCGCCATTTAAATGATAGTCTGTTGCTCATTGTTGAAATAACAAAAGTTTTTATGATTTTATAATGCATAGTGCACAAAACATTATAGTTCATTTGTATAACCATCCATGATTGTATGGGTTTTTAACTATATATATTTATTACTTACTTATTTATTTCATTGTTTATTATATTTGTTCTGCCATCTGCTGAACAGACTTTAAAACGATTTATTGATGTTTTTTTATCATTGCATTCAATGTCCTGCGTGACGAAACGCCCGACCGAAGCACAAATTTTGGTTGCAGGTTACAGAACTTTGATGAAGTCCAGAATGCCGACCTGATAAACGTTGACATCGGTACGTGCCAGTACATGGACTACTTGCCCCCACAGGGCCCCTCATCCTTCTATTCAACTTCCACCGTCGACCCTGGTGTGATCAATCCGGAACGTTAGTTCTCTATGATGAGACGCTGTTTGTTGTCGTCATGTTCATCAGTCAACATTCTTTCTAGCTATCATCAATCGCAAACTACTACAACCTAAACAACTACGTCGTTGTCTATTTCAACATAAACATTTGCCAAACTTCTTAATTGCAACATTTTAATCCCTTTCTGCTATTAATCACTTAATTATACAAATTATTAATCACGAAAATCAGTGAAAGGCTGCACCCGCCCTGCTTACCCACTGAGCACCTGGAAGGAGAGGGGCTGTGAGGGGTCGTCGGCCTCTGGTTACTACTATGAATATTCCGATGGTCCAACAAGTATCAGCAAGTAAGAAGGTTTAATTGCCGAAAAATGTTCGTTGGTTGATTGATTGATTGGTTGGCTAACAGGCTGACTGACTGGTTAGATGATTAATTGGTTTGGTTGGCTGGTTGGTTGATTGATTGATTAATTAATTAACTTTGTTACAAGTATTTTTTTGCTTCCTTTAAATGTAAATAAATAAAAAATAAATTGATTGAATAATTGATTGATTGACTGGTTGGATGGTTGTTTGATTGACAATCTGATTGACTGACCTTCTGATTGGTTGGCTAGCTGTCCATATATTTAAATTTGGATTAATTAACTGATTAAATAATGAAACAGCAACAAAATAAATTTGTTACATGAACAATTTCTTTTAAAATAAGCTGTGCAACGTGCTAAAGTAAAAATAAGCATAATTTAATATGTAACGAAGGATTACAAATCGGTCGATCGATCGGTCGATCAATCAATCAATTTCCGCGCCATTTCCGCGCCATTTCCGCGCCATTTCCGCGATGTTCAAGCGTTATTTTCGCGATGTTCAACAGCGGTCCTTAATGAATTTTGAAAACAGATGGGTCTTGAAATCCGCTCTGAACTTCGTAAGTGATGGAGAAGTAGTCAAAAAAGTAGGTAGAGAGTTCCAGAGAAAAGGGCCAGAAAAAGCAAAAGCAGATTTAGCAAAAGAGTGTTTAACACGAGTTAAGAAGAAACGAGAACAAGAAGACGATCGTAAACCGGGGCGTTTAGGTTCAATTAATATATCTGATAAATACTTAGGAAATAATTTAGATTGAGACTTATACATAAACGTGCATATTTTAAAAATTATTTTATATTTTATAGGTAGCCAGTGTAAGAGAACAAGATATGGAGATATATGAGAAAAGAAAGGGACACGAGCAACTAGACGAGCAGCAGAGTTAAAAGCTTTACTTAAAGGATAGAGTATAGAGTCAGGAAGACCATAGTAGAGCGAGTTACAATAATCAATCCTAGATAAGACTAACGAAGTAATAAGAAGAAGAGTAGGATCATCAAGAAAAGTTTTTTTTATTCTACGTAGATGAAAGTAAGAGCTTCTAGCGACACTATTAATCTGAGAAGAAAGAGACATAGTAGAATCAAAGATAAAACCTAGACTACGAAAGTTGTGAGAGACATCAAGCGTTTTAGAATCAGGTAAGATAATAGGAGGAATAGTAATAAAGTGTTTAGATTTATTAAAACAAACTAATTCAAACTTAGAAGGATTAAGTTTAAGACACAGAGAGTCAGACCAAGCGATAATTGAAGAAAGACATAGAGGTAGATTATGAAGAACACTATTGCGATTAGATGGAGGGAAATAAGTATAAATGTAAGAATCATCAGGATATAGTTGACTAGAGAAAAAAAAGTTATTAATAATATGAGGTAGTTTAGAGGTATAGAGTATAAATAGAAGAGGGCCAAGGATAGAACTCTGAGGTACCCCAAAAGTAAGAGTAGAGGAGTTAGAAGTAGAATTATTGAGAACAACAGAAGAAAAACGATTACAGAGATAAGAAGAAAACCAAGATAGACAAGAATCAGTAATATTAAAAGAAAGATGCAGCAGCCTCAACAGAATAGTATGGTCAACAGTATCAAAAGCAGAGGAAAAGTCAAGAGCAAGAAAAAGAGTAAGATTACTATTGTCACTAGAGAGAAGGATATCATTGTGTATTTTGAGTAAAGAAGTTTCAGTACGGTGAGCAGGTCTGAAACCAGATTGAGATACAGGTAGCTAGGAGTTAAAATTAGATGAACTTCCATTTAGTGATGATTTCTTTCAGGACATTTGTACATTTTTAGTGCATATTAATTATTATAATCAATTGAAATAATTTAATGGTAGCCTACAAAGTGTTTACGGTTCTTTTTTTCAATATTATTTTCTCGGATAGCACTCTGTATTGAAATAAAATGGCAGATGGAGTCAATTGTTATAATTTAAATTTGAACGCAGGTTCGTATTGACTCTGAACTTGAAGACCTCCTCCCCCGATGGGGTCATCTTTTACGCCTACAATCAGCAGCACTCGGACTTCATTGCACTCTTCATGAAGGGCGGGGCAATGCATGGATTTGTGAACTGCGGGGGCGGCATCACCAAGACTGCTCTGCAGGGTGTCAACTTCGCTGATGACGCCTGGCACAATGTTCGTTTCTTCTCTTCTCATTTTTCTCTTTTTTGTCTCTTTAGTTTTATAATAATTTTTAAATACGTTGTTTATGTGTTTATCATGGTTCAAAAATGGAGTGGGCAAATGCGATTAATTTGTTTCCGCATGTTGCTTCGTCATTCGTTAATCATTATTCACGCTATATCTCATTGTTTGTAGTTTTTGACCAAAAAAGTGTTTCAGCTTGTCCTTTTTTAACAAATAATAGTATTTAAAATAATAATAATGACGAAATAATATTAATAATTATGAATAAAATTATAATAATAACGACGAAACGAAAAGTGATGAAATGATGTGATGAGAATGTTGTTAGTGTGGTTCTTGAGAAGATGTTCGCCTGCTGCCCGCAGGTCTACTTCAGGTACGAAGACGGCTTGGTGACGCTGAATGTGGGTCGGCACTCCAACAACACGGCACTTATGGGCAGTCAGACTTCAGTTGAGGTCACCGCCCCCATCTTCATGGCTGGTCTGCCTCAGCAGGTCTTCCAATCTTCCATCGTCAACTTCGCGGTCAGTCCATTTTCCTCTGCTACTTGCCTCCTTCATGATAGTTTCAATAAGAATAAAAAAATAAAAATAATAAATTAAAATATTTGCTGAACGTGGTGGTTGTAATAACATTTTGTTGATAAAATTAATATGAATCTTCCTCAATTAATGCTTGGTGCATGTTCTGTGTTGGAGGGAGCGGACGATGGATGGCCCTTTATTTTTCATGTGGTTTTCATCCATGCGGGAAGTTCTAATTAGTGTTTTTGGTTACTTGAATAAAAGCTGTAAAAATTTCAGAGCAAAAATAATATCTCATAAATGTGGCTTAATGACCAATTGCATGAACAAACACGTGAACAAACACGTGAACAAACAAATGAACGAACACGTGAACAGACAAATGAATGAACACGTGATCAAAAATTACACAAACACGTGACAAGAAAAATATGACCACACAAACACACGACTCACCAACCAATCTACGGAACAGGATAAAAAGCCTGACACTTGGATGTTTAACGGCGAATTGAAGGACATCACCCTGCAAGGCAAACCAATTGAATCAAAGTTGATAGCCCGATCATCTTCTCCAGGTGCAAAGTGCCCAGTCGAGCAGGGGATCTTCTTCTTCCCTGTCTCCACACCTTTCAAGACATACGGCTCCGTTTGTACGTTCCTCCATTTCGTTTTTGTTGATTGAAGTTTTTTGCGGTGTGGGTGAGTTAGGTGAGAACAAGTTTGTTAAAAATTGCACTCTCGTTGTTTATTTGAAGTAACAATTTCATAAGTTAGAAATGTTGAAAGTTTTTTTAGAATTTTTTCAAGTTAGAAATTTTTCATGGTATAATCACGTTTGCAAATGTTGACATGGTTCATGTTGACATGTTCCTTCGGCGCTAAAGGGCATTTCATATAAACCTTTCTGGAGTTGTTGGGTGATGCAGTGCTGGTTCACGAGGGCTCTTTGTAAAAACATTCAATGTTCTTCTTGATTCCAGCATGATGATTTGTTTGGCGTCTTGCTGGCAATAGAGAAATAGAATTTTAATGAAATAGAAATTAAATGTAAGTGTTAATGATGAAGATTGGGGACCACGTTGGTGGTTGCCTTCAGCCAGCCTCACCCATCAACCTCATTTCAACATATGAACATAATGTTATTGAAGGAAAATTATTATAAACGAAATTTAACAATGACGTGATTGATTGATTGGTTGGTTGGTTGATTGATTGATGGATTGGTTGGTTGGTTAATTGATTGGTTGATTGGTTGGTTGGTTGATTGGTTGGTTGATTGGTTGGTTGGTTAATTGAATGACAGATTAGTTAAATGACGAATTGAAGAAACGATTGAAACGCCTAAATAAATGAGCGAATGAATGAATAAATGATTAAGTGAATGAGTGAATGAGTGAGTGAACGAATGAATGAACGAATTAAAAATTTGTTACAGACCCAGATTATTCAGCGCCGACACACATGAACATCTCCTTTATGATCAAACCTCGACTGCTGGACGGCATCCTCTTCTCTGTCCACAACCCTGCAAATGATGAGTTTATTATACTCCAATTGGTCAAAGGAGAGGTCAGTTGACTGGTTAATTCTTTGGTTGGTCGGTTGGCTGGTTGGTCGGTCGGTTGGTTGGTCGGTCGGTTGGTTGGTCGGTTGATTGGTTGGTCGGTTGATTGGTCGGTCGGTTGATTGGTTGGTCGGTTGGTCGGCTGGTTGGTCGGTTGGTTGGTCGGTTGATTGGTTGGTTGGTCGGTTGATTGGTTGGTCGGCTGGTTGGTCGGTCTGTTGATGGTTGGTCGGTTGATTGGTTGGTCGGCTGGTTGGCCGGTTGAATGTTGTGCAAACATCAAATCTTGGTGACAATCATTTCAATTTCTCAACCACTGTCATTATTATCATTCACCGTAATCATCATCATCCACACGTCATTATCATATCTTCTTATTTTCAATCAGAAACACATCATCGTTGTCATTGTTATCATCATCATCATCATTTTTCTTCTTTTTTTTCTTCTTCCCTTCTTCCTATTATTATTATTATTATTGTTGTTGTTGTTATTGATGTCATCATTATCATCATCGCGTACAACGATGCAGTTCCATCTCACTGTGAACAATGGACAAGGTCATGTCATGAAGTCCGACTTCAAACCAAGCAACAAGATGTTCTGGTGTGAGAGGAAGTGGTACTCTGTTTCTGGTTCGTTGTTTTGCGGTTGTTGTTGTAGCTGCTGTTACTGTTGTTGTTGTTGTCGTAGTAACTATTGTTGTTGCTGCTGCTGTTGTAGCTACCGCTGCTGCTGTGGTTGTGGCTTCTACTGCAGTTGTTGCCGTTGTTGTCGCTGCTTCTGATGTTAATTCTGTTATCTTGTTGTGGTTTTTTGTGGTTGTTGTTCCTTATGTGGTTGCTGTGGTTACTGTTGATGTTACAACGGTTGTTGTTGTTGATGATTTCGATTGCTTCCAGTCATCAGGAGGATTATGCTAGGGCCCATGATTAAGAATAATGAATATTCCCCCTAATTGTTGAGACATCCACATCACATCGCCTCCTACTTTTCTCATTCCATTTAGTATTTCATGGTTTGCTCGAACAAACAGAGAAATGATTAAATGGAACTGATTTAAATTGTGGCCTGCATGCATTCAACTGATGCGAATGTTCTTTAAATTTTGCAGCGAACAAAGTAAAGAATGTTGTTTACGTGATCGTAGACGGGTTGAGGGGGACGTCGGGGTTTGGCATTGAAGGGTACTCCAGCACTGACACATCCAATGAGCTCTTCATCGGCGGCGCTAAAGGTAGCACCATCCCTTCATTCATCATTTCATTTTTGTATTCCTCATTTTATCTATTCATTCATCCATTTTTTCATCAATCTATCTTTCTGTTTATCCGTCCTTTCATCCATCCGTCCACCAACGACGGTTTTAAATGAGCTAATGAATGAATGAACGAACGAATGAACTAATTAATCGAGGAACGAGCCAATTAATGAATAATGAATGAAAGATTATTGACGAAGACTTAATATTCACTCAGAGATGCACTCTGGCATGTTGGTGAGCAACTCATTCGTCGGCTGCATGAAGGACCTCTACGTCGAAGGCAAACCAGTCCCCCTTAGGGACCTTCAATTCAAGGGGGACATTCTCCAAGATGGCTGCCCAGTTGATTGATTGATTGACTGATTGATTGATTGATAGATTAATTGATCGATTGATTGGCTGATTGATTTGTTGATTGGTTGATTGATTAATTGATTGATTAGTTGGTTGGTTGATTGGTAGATTGATTTATAGATTAGTTGTTTTGTCAGCTGATCAATTGAGTCATCAATATTCAAAGAACAAATTTAGTTTATTTGTTCTTATACCTAGCATTGAAAAAATTTTGAGCAATCAACTTGTTTTATTATTTTTATAGAAGCGTTTTTCCACAAATCAATTTTTCCTACAAGAAATGTGGCACGACATCTGTCTGACCTGCTTATTTATATCTCCAGGAATGCTACAATTTCGAGTGCGAAAGAAATGGAAACGGCCGCCGAACTTTTACGTTATAAATACCGTTACGATCCTCAAAATATAGTTACAACGTAGGTAATTAATTCGGTAGCGAACTCTTCTTTCTGATTGATTGATTGATTGACCGACTGGCCGACTGATTGACTGATTGATTGACTGCTGATTGATTGACTAATTGATTGATTGACTGACTAATTGAATACTTGATTGATCGATTGACTGATTGATTGATTGACAGCTTGTGATTCCTCCAACTTTGGCGGCAAATATTTTTATTTACTTCATCAATAATTGCGAAATAATTTTTTTGTCATTTAGTGAAAGCACGGAAATATTTTTGGAATTATTTTTGGTCTTGACTTCTCTTTGTTGCAATTTATCAGCACGTGTTGGCATCAATTGGCTTATGGTTGGTTGGTTGGCTGGTTGATTGGCCAGTCGGTTGGTTGATTTGTTGGTCAGTTAGTCAATCAATCAATCAGTCAGTCAGAAAGACGTGTTATGAATGTCTTGCATGAAGATATTTGCTCCATGGCTGGCTACTTGCGTTTGCCATCTTAAATTGAGCATTTCAAATTAGGCATCTATGAAGTTTTGTTTTTATTGTTAGGTTCTGAGATAATTGCTTTTATAGTCATATTTTATAGTTATACTTTGGTTTAAAAACATTCACGTTGTGACCGACCAATTAACTACTATCGGCTACACAAAAATAAGTTGCGTAGAAAGTGTTCAATTAAATTTAAAATTAATACTTCACGTGTTTTTTTCCCAAAGAGGCAATCATCGAAAGCGTTTTGGACTAGCCAACTGCATGGAACGACAACGTAAGTCGCCAATTTCTTTTTTACTGAAATTGACACGTGCATATTAGACCGTTGTATTATTGACCAAAAACTTACTTCAATATTTGCAAGGAGATGAAGTTAAGATGCTCAAGTCAGTACTAACTGGCAGCCTCTCCACTCTTCAGTAAAAATTCTTTCCAAATTTTTTCATTTGGTTGAGATTTCAAAATTTCTCCACATAGGAGTTTAAAGGTCCTCTGAATATCAGACAATATGCCAATCATTCTTTAATGCATACATTCAAAACCACGAAACAAATTAGAATTTCGAATGGCAAATGCGGTTTATTCAAGTTCAAATGATCCACGTGATGACATGAAGCACATATTTTAGGAATGCTTGAATACTTTTCAAATACAATCTAATGCGCTCGCAATTTAGAATTAAAATGATTTGAAAAAACATAAAAAATCATAGAAAATATTTTTTTATGGTTACGTACTTAACAGGTTAGTCCAGCAACGAAGAGCGCGGTGATGCCAACTAGAAAAAATAAGTTGCATTGAAATGTGTACAAGAAAAATTATCAAATTCATCGTTCCCAATTAAAAATATAAGCAAGAATACGAATAAAATTGTTAAAAGATATAATAAAATAATCCGTAAAAATGTCCGAGCAGAGCATTCAATCGATTGAGTAATAACATTGTAGACATCTTTTTGTTTCCTTACCTAGGGTTTCACGTGAATATACATTGGAGAATGGAGACATGCTTGCAGAATGTAGCGGGCAAGCAGGCTTCACTTCCTCCATTACTTTACGATTGCGATGTATAAATCAACTTAATAAAAATTCAAAAATGAAAAATATAAGAAATTATGTAAAAAATGAAAGTTTAAATAAATAAAGAATGCAATGATCAAATGCTTCATAGCAGAAATGTGCACGTTTTGTTTCAAAATTATATATATATTTTTTTTTATTTATTTTCAAGTATAGGCATATATACATTACATATGAAATGAATGTGTGTATGATGTGTCTGTTTGTATGTGTGTGTGGTGTGTGTGTGTGTCTGTGGTATGTGTGTTTGTATGTGTGTGTGGTGTGAGATGTTTTTATTGCATTTTGTTGCAAACTGTGATTAATATTTTTAAAACGACGATGTTGCTAATATTGTCTGTTGTTTTTTATACATTTGTTCTTTTTTCAGTTCCTTCAACTGTTGTTTATGCTGATGTTAATGGTATTGTTGTTCATGCTGTTGCGGCAGATGGCGTTGATGCCTATGTTGCTAATGTTGTTGTTGCTGCTGCTGCTGCTGCGGTTGTTGTTGATATGGTTGCTGCTGCGGTGGCTGGTGGAATCGCTGATGTAGTAATTGCTGTGGTGGCTGTTGCAGCTGTTGCAACTTTCGGGATCGCTCTTATTGATACACTTGTTGTTATTGGTTTTGCTATTAATTTCGCAGTTGTTAGTTTTGTTGTTGATAGTGTTTTTCCTGCCGGTTTGGCTATTATTTTTTTTCTTGTATTTGCCGTCGGCTTTGTTGATCTTTTAATTTTGGTATTTGTTGTAAGTGTTTGTTGGTGTCCATTCCCTAACTGGGTTGGCGATGCTGCCTTGCTGAGTGAATGCTGCATTGGCTGTGTTGTGGTTGAAGTTTGTTGCAACTGGGGCAACATCATCTGCGGAGTTGTTGTGTAGAGTTGAATGACATGAGCAGTACCGTAATCATTATCAACTTTACCAGCCATCAACCTGTGATTTGTGTGTGGCGCGAAATGTTGCGGAACGACGATTGATGCATTCTGCATGTCCACGGTCGGAAGAAGTGTGGTGCAGCTCCATGAGTTTGCAAACTGTTGGTGTGGCAGGTGTGGGCTGAAATGTAGAACTCTGGTGAAGGGGGGCTTTCTTTTTGCAAAGATGCAATCTGTCACCGGGCCCGAAATATGATGAGAAATTTGTTGTTTTTTCATTTGTTGATGTGATTGTTGTTGTTGTTGACATTGTTGTTGCAGCTTTTTATACTGTTGTTGATAATGCTGTTGTTCAATTTGCTGAAGTTGTTGTTCGTACTGTTGATGTTGTTGTTGATGTTCAATCTGTTGTTGTCGATGTTGATCATCTGGTGAA